AGTATAAAAAACATTAAAACAACAAATACAAACAAGTATTTACACAACAATAATAATTAGATAAAACACTATATCCTTATGATATTTTTATTATGATAATGATAAATCAATACTCATATGATGTCTGAATACGTTACTGTTCTCTTAATAATCATATCGATATACTGTGAATATTGTTCACCCTTTTAATTTTCTTGATCACTTTATTTAATGTAAACACGTGCAGCAATATGCTACTGATAATTTGAGAATATTTAAGTGTAACCTAATGTATAGCAAGGCGACACACTTAACATAACCTCATGATTGTCTGCTGCCTGTGAGAAGACCAATACTGACATTGACAATACCCAATTTTGACGTTCTTTTAATATATGAACCATTTTCCTGTAATGTCGAAAAACGTTAACAATATTCTATGACATCTACTATCTACAGCAAAGAAATGCTGGGATTTTTGTCCATTACAATAGATGCGGCCTTCCCGAGTGAAACATTTTTTTTAAATTTTAGTTATTTTTGTGTTGTCAGACACTGCTTCACAACTTTTAAAAATGCATAACTTTCTAACTTTTGTCCGATTTCAATCGAATTTTCACTTGTCTGCTTCTCTGATTTTTATGCCTTCTCTTAGAGTTTGGTATGAAGGTAGTATTTCCCTTTAACGAGTATATGCACTAAAAGGAGGATAATTATTATTAGCATATGCACTATTTTATCGATATTGTGATGCGTTATTGTTACTTTTATTGTTCCTTTTCATTTGCGTTGTGTTTAGTCATTTTTTAACATAACACTGATGGTAATGGTTTTTGTTTACTTCATAACCTGTGGTGAACTAATTTAGGGGATTTACTTCTAATGAACAAACTTATCTTTTATCATTCCAAAGTTGAGTTTTAATTTGAAATATAATCTTTTGCAATTTCTCATCTTTTCTTTAGATGTCTACAATGGTTTTAAAATTTAAATAATCGCTGATGTAATTTGAACAACCCATTTTTCTAAAACTCATTTTTGAACTCTTTGGTTTTCTGGTTTTTTTTATATTTGATTTTTAATTTATGTCAAACTATGTTCATTGTAATTGATAAGTATATTTTTGCAATTTTCCATGTTTTTATCTGTGAATTGTATCGCAATTCAGCCTTTTACGGCTGCGAAGATACTTTTTAATAAACCTTGAATTGAATTGAATAGGGGACACCCGATTTTGAACGAAAGCCTAAACCCGTGGGGTATATATTTTCAGTAGAATGCGGGTCAGGTCTGTCCCTTGCCCGCCCGTTGATACCAATGTAGTATACTCTACGAAGATGCAAGCAAATTGGATGTAAGATTTCAATACTGAATACATAGAATCATTGATTGGTAACAACAGAGTCAATAGTTAAATACATTTGACTCGATGACTCATTTCCCATGGCAACGACGTTTCTATAACCAATATTGATAATCTAAGCTCTAGGTTATTGATTAATTCTCATTTTTAACACTAATTATTATAGACGATTACAAATATGCATACCATACAATAGGACAAGGTTTCATTCTGACGCTATACCGCAACCAGGAAAATGCTGGTTTAATTTTATTTGATTAACGGTAAATAGCAACATTTGTGCCAATAATTCAAAATGTTTAATTTTCGTGCCTCTGAAAATTGATTCGCTTTCAATGGTCTTTTATTCAATAAATTATTAGAATACTGGCGTTGACATTTAGAAAATTGATTTTAATTACTAACCAGACATACTGAAACCATATATGTTTATGACTGCGCAGGGACAATGTACTAATTCCAGTTGATTTTTAAAAAATAAATAATACCTGTGAACTCTTAAATGTAAAGGTGAAAGAGTTTGTCTACGCATTTATTTTTTGTATAAAGCTTAAACATTTGACAAACAGGACTCGGCTTTATATTTTGAAACAACGAGTTTCACCAAAACATTTATAACGGGGCAACAGCTATTAAACATCAGTCTGTTTTCTATCAACCCCTACTATTGTAGTCGATGCCCTTTGGTAAGGCATTAATCCTCATTGCCAGGTCCCTTGGAGAAGACCTAAAGCCGTCGGCCGTCTGGTTGCTTACTAACGAGCATTTATGCTTTCTTTGCAGTCAGGTAAAATAACCACCATCACCATAATTGTATTGGTCAGTTTTTAAAACTTCCCAAAAAATGTTGCGTTGACATTTTTCGATGGTTCCACTACTCCTATTATAGGGAATCTTCAGCTTTTTAGAAAATCGAACAATGTGTAAAATTGGAGAATCGCAACATATTTTTTGGATTCAAGAATTGATTACAAGAGGTATCTTGGTTATTGTGTTTATCATGACCCGTTTTGCTTAATAATTTGCTTGATTGAAATAAATCATCATAACAAACTGTATGCGTTATGTCAACATTTTAACTTAGATAACATTAAATTGAATAACGAAAAAGAAAATCACTTCGCTTTGTCCTTTTGTCACATTGCCCTCGATTGGAAATAGCGAGTACAATCATCATCATCAAAATAAACTATTCACGAAATAAAGCCGAATTCGTTAATGGCACACAATAATTATGCACACACACACACACACACACACACACACATGCGCGCGCACACATCTAAACCGTGTATATACATGGCTGTATGTTACGCCCACGCACACTTTATGTTCACGAAATCTCCTCTATATTTACATCACCTTAATAATTGAATTCGTTGATCATGTATAATTGGACAAATTTAGTATTTTTTCGGCGCCGTGAAAAACAATTATCGTCAAAATTAACTTCTTTTATTTGTTATCTAAGTTTTAGACATTTCATTAATACGGAATAGAAATCAATTATTAAAGTAATGGCCAACAACATTTTTTCGAGTAAACAGGATCATAATATAGAGAGTGGAACGCTTCGGAAACATATTTACAATGAAATATAATTGCTATTGTATTGTCAGAAAAATTGAAAATTGCCTAAACACCGTTTCTTTTTTTTAATATAATGCCTTATATTAACAAGTACAAATTTCCATATACATGGTTTTGACGTTTCCAAAGAGTTATTAACAAAAAGTAAGCGGCACTTATTACAAAAGAAAAAGGCATTTGTTAAGGAAAAATGGGAACCTCTCAGATTTGAATAGGGCAATTATCAGAGGTAAAGGGGTCCTTATAAGAATGTGGAAAGAGTACATCTTTGACATAAAAAAGGGGCGCTTATCTGAGGGGACACATTTTTTATGTTAAAAGGGGCACTTAAGTTTTTTTTTGCCTGATTATAAATTTGGGAAGTTGAGCGCATAAAAAGTATAATTTACAAAAAATTGAGGAAAAAAAAACTCTAGAAAATCATGGCATTTAAGCAACATTTGTAAATCGTAGGTATCGAATTAGAAATAAACCACGTTTTAATTTTGTTGCCCCCCCCCCCAACAGTACGCCAGTGCATTTGAGACGTAGGTTTAGTGCCAGGAAATTAAATCGAACCCACGAACTTTGCATTTTCAATCGAGTGATTAAACCACTCGACTACGACACCCCTTCCTCTACTGACAATAAACGATGATCAATGCACAGTGTTGATTAAATCATTTATATTTGTGTTCCATTAATACTGCAGGCCAATCGGAGCAACTGTGAACCTAATCATGCTAATAAAAAACGCAATATCGATGCAATGAGTGGAAACGATAATGGACTTGTTCAACATACATGCAATAATGAGTAACGCACTTAAACAGCGTGCCAGGCAGTGGATGAAAATTGTATTCCCATCGTGGGCGATCGTATAAAAATGGCATAATTGCTGTTGGCAATCACTTTGGAAGTTCATCTTGATTTCGGAATGATCTGTCAAATTGTCCATTACAAAAGTATCACTAAAAGGCGGAGGGAAAGAGAGAGAGAGAGAGAGAGAGAGAGACGGAGAAAGAGAGAGCGTGTATGGAAATAGGAATAGCTAAATGCCAAACATAATCCGCTGACACGACTAATGAAAAATCACCTCGAACCTAATAATTAAGGCACACTAATTCACCTCTCTTTCTCCCCTTCTCCATCCTGACTTTTCTTCATCGATCCGTCCCCCAACCCCCCCCCCCCCCTCTCTCTCTCTCTCTATATATATTTTTTACTCACACTTTCTTTTCTTTTTTTCAATAGTTTTTTTTTATTCAAACAATACAAATTAATTTTAGAAATAATATACAGTTGTTTTTCCTTGACATTTATTCAAAACATTTTTATTACATAGATTGTACGATTGATGAAAACAAAAATGAAATCAGTTGTAACATAAAACAAATACACACACACACCAAACACACACACAAAACACGCGCACACACGAACTTTTTCATTTTTTAACTGGAACAATGCCTGCTCCTCTCTGCCCCCTCCCTCACACAAACACATCCACCCACACACATATTCACTCACACACACACACACACACTTACATTCTACTCACTCAGTGGATGTCTGCTAACATTCTCAACTCAAGAAAAATATACTAAATAAGTATGTTAACCAGGTCGCAAATATACTTTTAACAAGCTCACGGTGGAGAAGAAAATAAATCTTAATTAACACTAATCTGCTCCCACTTTAAAGTGACTCGGTAACATTGTTGAAGGTTGATGAAAAAATTGCTTAATTTTTGTATAAAATGTTACTTACTATATTCCTTCTACTATACTAACCCTCTGACATGCAGAAAATCATGAAAAAATTCTCAAACCACGAAGATATCTATGGTTTTCTTTGCAGGCGTCGATGTTAGACACCCTCTAACAGTGATTAACAGTAAATTCTCCCAACCATTTTTGAATTTTCCCAACCGTTTTTCCATGAAAAAAATACATAAAGGCTATAAAAAATCTGTCAACACTTAACTGTCTGGAATAGAATGTAGAGCCATTTTATTGCTTTGTGACGATTTACATTCACCTAAAATGTAATAAAATTGTCCTTGTCTAGATGCTGAACAGGCTTTGAC